CTCGGAAATAAACGAAAGAACAAAGAGGAACTCGACGCCGATGAAACGTTCGGTAGGCACGTTGCACATTCGTTAAAGCAAATCGAAGACCGACGTATTAAAGAACTGCTGAAACTAAAGATTCAGCAACTTTTGTTTAATGCTGAGTTCGGCGGACAGGATCAACTGCCATCCGCTTCTTGGGCATCTGAAAGTCAAAGACTTATGTTTTAATTGCTAACTAACTGTAAAATTTTACAATAATATGTCATTTTTATTAAAAACGTTTATTAAAAGTATATCCAATGAATATATTCTTACCAGCTGTCTTTCAGTGTCACTGAGATTGTCACTTTGTCTTTGATTGATATCATAATCAACGCCGGCTACTCATATCTTCAGTGTTGTAGTGAACACGATATCCAACCCTTATTTCACACCATATATGTGCAATAACTATACAGAATCTATAATTGGTATAATCAGACAAGAAAGAAATAAAGCACATGTGTAGTACTTCCAGTCTGCTACCTACACTACAATAGAGAAGCCTTTTGAAAAAAAACAAGCCAAAACGCGTAAACAAAATGATTAGAACAACAATGCACGGAGTATGATTGGATAATAATTCGAGAACACTTTTCAGTAATCGAACTAACGTCAGTAAGTTTACAATTACAACACAACTGGCATTCAATCAATGGTGTTTCACAAATAGTTCAATGTTTATAACCTTTGAAAACAGTCAATAATAAAAAAATCTATAAATCTGATTATGGCAATAATGTTTTCCATTGCCACTGCACTTGTCCTGGTCCATTCACATACTGTGACAAACAATCCCTGATCTTGCTGGCACTCTTGGGATGGTTACAACCAGTTGATGGGAAAGATGCAAAAACACAAGCACGACCTGTGCTTTGTCTCCAATTGCCGTCTATGATTTCCCCTTGGTCATTCGGGCAATCTAGAGATCCAACGGGAGCGTAGATCGAAGGACATTTCCTCAGCAGAAAATTGTGAAGCAGCAAAGCTGCGTGGACAATAACAACTGAATTCTCTGGCTTAACACTAAGTGTCGTGTGAAACACTCGAAATTTTGCACTCATGATTCCAAATGCATTTTCACTGACTCTTCATGCTCGGGATAGACGATAGTTGAAGATACGTTGTTCCTCTGTCAAGCCTCTTTGGGGATATGGCTTCATCATATTTGGAGCCAACGCGAATGCATCATCGCCGACGAAATAATACGGTATTTTGCAGCAACTATCCTCGTCTTCGTGGCCGCAATTTTCTGGGACTGTTGGAAGGGATTTAGCGTTCGGTATGCCCAAACTGTTCGCCTCTAAAGCTTTGAAGAAGTTGGTGTTTCTCAGTACACCGCCATTGCTGATGCGTCCTTGGCAACCCACATCAGCGTATATAAATTCCGATGAAGGGCCAACAACAGCCATGAGCACAATGCTGTAGAAGCCTTTGTAATTGTAGTAATCAGAGCCAGAACACCGAGGATAAACAATCCGTACATGCTTGCCATCAATTGCACCGATGCAGTTCGGTAGTTGCCAACGCTGGTAAAATTCAGCTGCAATCTCTTCCCACTTTCCGTCAGTGCTTGGGCATTCAATATACTCCGAACAGTATGTGGCAATGGTGTTACAAACTTTGGGAATAATAATAGATAAAGTACCTTTATTTATTCGGAATTGATATTGTAGACTTGTATATGATTCGCCTGTTGCTAGAAAGCGAAGGGTCACAGCAAGCTGTTCAGCGGGACCTATTGAGTTGCAAAATACACTATCTTTCTTTTGCAGGTATTTCGCTATTTTCCCCAGTAGCTCTTCAAATGCGGGGAGATTCATTCTTAGGTAATTTTTTAAGCTATCGACATTGTTTTCCAGATCTTTCATTAATTTGTGGAATGCCCCGTCCAACTCCCTGCTTGCAATCCATGGCTTGATCCAAAACTTTCTTTTCCTGCGTTTTTGTCGCCGAGAATGTGCAAGCAATACGCTTATGAAAGCCGTAGTAGCAATAGTAGCCATTTCACATTCGTTTTCATCCATATTTTAGTGAGATATGATACTTAAACATAATTTTATCTGTTTTCACGTATGAATTTTATTTTGGTTTCAATAATTCCCGCACACGAAAGCAGCGAAATCGCACCTTCTTGCACTTGAATTGCACTGAAATTGCACTGAAATCGCAGGGTGTTTACATTTTCAATTTTCGTATCGCCATCACGTCAGCAGAAAAAATCGCACCCAAAATCGCAGCAAAAATTGCAAGTGTAAACAGGCCTTTAGAGTTAGTATCACCCTATAATATAGTTCAAAGAGTCTTACACAACCAACAAATGTATACAAGAAAAAATTGAACTTATAGGAAGCCCATCATAGAAAAACGCGCTGAATTAACCAAATCAGTATAGTTCCTGCAAAACTAACCTATCTCCCGATAATGTTAGAGTTAGTATCACCCTATAATATAGTTCAAAGAGTTTTACACAACCAACAAATGTATACAAGCAAAAATTAAACTTATACAAACCCCATCATAGAAAAACGCGCTGAATTAACCAAATCAGTATAGTTCCTGCAAAATTAACCTATCTCCCGATAATGTTAGAGTTAGTATCACCGTATATTATAGTTCAAAGAGTTTTGCACAACCAACAAATAAATACAAGCAAAAAATTAAACTTATACATAGCCCATCATAGAAAAACGCCGTGAATCAACCAAATCAGTATAGTTCCTAAAAAATTAACCTATCTCCCGATAATGTTAGAGTAAGTATCACCGTATAATATAGTTCAAAGAGTTTTACACAGCCAAGAAATGTATATACAAGCAAAAATATAAACTTATACATAGCCCATCATGGTGAATTAACCAAATTGCGGTAAATAAACCATCTACGAATTTGGCGCTATAACGAATGCGGTGAATAAACCATCTCCCGACAATGTTATATAGAGTTAGTATCACCGTATAATATAGTTGAAAGAGTTTTACACAACCAACAAATGTATACAAGAAAAAATTAAACTTATAGGAAGCCCATCATAGAAAAACGCGCTGAATTAACCAAATCAGTATAGTTCCTGCAAAACTAACCTATCTCCCGATAATGTTAGAGTTAGTATCACCCTATAATATCGTTCCAAGAGTTTTACACAACCAACAAATGTATACAAGCAAAAATTAAACTTATATACAAACCCCATCATAGAAAAACGCGGTGAATTACCCAAATCAGTATAGTTCCTGCAAAATTAACCTATCTCCCGATAATGTTAGAGTTAGTATCACCCTATAATAAAGTTCAAAGAGTTTTACACAACCAACAAATGTATACAAGCAAAAAATTAAACTGATACAAACCCCATCATAGAAAAACGCGCTGAATTAACCAAATCAGTATAGTTCCTGCAAAATTAACCTATCTCCCGATAATGTTAGAGTTAGTATCACCGTATAATATAGTTCAAAAGTTCAAAAACTTTTACACAACCAACAAATGTATACAAGCAAAAAATTAAACTGATACATAGCCCATCATAGAAAAACACGGTGAGTTAATCAAATTAGTATAGTTCCTGCAAAATTAAGCTATCTTTGGATAATGTTAGAGTTAGTATCGCCCTATAATATAGTTCAAAGAGTTTTACACAACCAACAAATGTATACAAGAAAAAATTAAACTTACACGAAGCCCATCATAGAAAAACGCGGTGAATTAACCAAGTCAGTATAGTTCCTGCAAAATTAACCTATCTCCCGATAATGTTAGAGTTAGTATCACCGTATATTATAGTTCAAAGAGTTTTGCACAACCAACAAATAAATACAAGCAAAAAATTAAACTTGTACATAGCCCATCATAGAAAAACATCGTGAATTAACCAAGTAAGTATAATTCCTGCAAAATTAACGTATCTCCCGATAACGTTAGAGTTAGTATCACCCTATAATATAGTTCAAAGAGTTTTACACTACCAACAAATGTATACAAGCAAAAAATTAAACTTATACAAACCCCATCATCATCACAGCGTTTCCACTTTCAAGAAAATGTCCTTTTTCAGAAAAATTTTGAACCCTAGAAGGAATTTTCAAGGATGTGTAATAATCAAGGAAATCTAAGGACGTTTGAGGAAATCTAAGGAAGTCTACTGTCTACATACGATAAATATACAGTAGAGAAATCAGTTATCAGTAGAGATATATTTAAAACTTTTTAGAGACTTGCAGTTGTCGATAAATTGACATGATTTACAGATTTAGCGACAATTTTTTTTTATGTGCTAACTAATTGGTAATAATTTTTATAAAACATTATTTTGGAACAAAAACATTACATGAAGTATATTACGTATTTGAAAGCGGGAAACCGAAAAATCTGAAAGTGATAAAAAATATGAGAGCAAATGGCTATGAGGCGTGTTTATGAATAAATCTCATGATTCTCATGAATCTCGCGATCTATAAACAATGAGTCAGATGGCTCAGATTCGGACCTTCTTAACGAAGGTGAACCAAGGGACAAACCTGTCACTAAAAAGAAGAAGTACAACCAAAAGTTTTTGAACTCATGGCTGTCTGAACCCCAGTTCAAACATTGGCTGGAAAGGCGAAGAGATGCACCCTACTGCAAGATATGTAATTGCTCCGTATCCTACGGTGGCCCCTATGTGCAATACACAAACCAAAGTCACAATTCAAAACAAAATGTTCAGTACACAAATAAAAGTTTACGTAGAAAAGTTTCAGTGCGCGACAAATTTGAGAAATACACAACAAAATATCTCGAAACACGTTGCAAAATTTTGTACGAAACGTGAATACAAAACTCGATATGCGACAAAGATTGCTCTTAGTACAAAACAAAATGTTGCATCGGGGACTTTTAGGACTTTTTGTGGCTATGCATTACAAGATACCTTTGCGTTCTGTCCGTCATGCGGAACGAAGAAAGGCGAAGTTACAAATTCAGAAACTGCTGGTGCGATGAATGCAAAAAGCAACAAAAGAAAACAGGATTCATCTAGTAGCAACCCTCCGTCATTTTCAGCGTTCATGAAGCAGAAGGAAACTGAAAGGCAAGCTCATTTTAAGCCAAATAAGAAAAAGGCCCGGCAGGGGGAGACGAAAGGAAAAGACGAAGTGATCGTTAACATTGGTTTGATGGAATATGACTATGGTGAGCTAAAAATCCAGCGCGGTAAGTCGTTTCCTGTGAAGTTGTCGAAAGACATGGGTTATGATGAGGTAAGAGAAAAGGTGTTAAAGAAGTGGGAGGATTACGACAGGACGTTTTCAAGAGATCGTGGTTATGTCCTTGCATTTCAAGATGGGAAATTGGCAAGAAAGATACCTGGCAGCTCAGACGAATTTTTGCTGAGAAAATACAAAGAAGGTCTTGGCAAGAGCTATAGCAGAATATATCTCTACCTTTGTCCTGTGTCAGAAAAAAGACCAGAAAATGACACCATGAACCCAATAACAAATTGGTTGACTGAGGAAGAAGAAGAGATTGAGAGGGTGTTACATGATTCTGAGGACAGTTATGTGGATGATTGCACTACCACCACCTTGTTGCAGGAGCCTCAACATAGTACCTCTGCTGAAAAATCTGCTGGACTTGTATCTTCCAATGACCAATCAGATATTATTCAGATTTATGAGGTTGCTGACTTTTTGTAAGAACCACACTTTTTTGTATTGAAATTAAAGGTATTATAATTGCAAGATCATTTAACTTAATTAATTTGGCTTATGGGCTATGGCAAAGTGGACTTAAGGTCAAATGAGGCGAAAATACCATAGCATGTCAACAGCCAACACATGGCAGGTCACACCATTTTCATTAAAAATTGCCATGTTTTCTTACATATGCATCTTCAATCTAAATCTGTCTATTAATGAATTTATAACTTGTTATTGAATCTTTGTAGACCTGTTGGTTTGGATGAGAACAGTGCTGTCCAACAGGCAATAAATGCTAGTATTCTTGAACTTGGACATGATGAGGAAGAAACAGTGGCATGTGAAAACCCAAATGGCCTTGAAGATGAGAGTGTTGTCTTGCTGATCAAGGAACATGCTACAAAGATGGTTCAAGGCGATACACGAAGTATTGTGGTTAGCAGACTAAGCATCTGGGAGACAGCAAACCCCTATTTCATACGAAAAAGTTTCCTGAAAAGAAGTGGTATGTTGCAAGTAACCTTTGCAACATTTGAAGGCCAGGAAGACGCAGTTGACCATGGTGGTCCTCGTCGTGAATTTTCCCACTTACTACTTGGAGCAATGTCAAAAGAAAGTGGCACATTGTTCAGTATGTACATGAAATGCAACCAGCATTGACCACTTGTTTTTCTTGACTTTCATATTGGTACTGTATTATTATATCTTTTTAAAATTAATTTCATTTTAGATACTTCAGAAGGGCATGTTATTAGGCCCAGTTTCAAAGCTCTGCAAAGTGATGCATTTTCAGTGGTGGGGAGAATGCTGGCAACAATGATTGTTCAGGGAGGAGAGCTACCACGTATTTTTAGCCCCAGTTTATGCCAATACATTCAGGGTGGATTCGACAATGCCTCTCCGAACATTGATGAGGTACCAGATGCAACTGTACAAAAGTCTTTAAAACAGGTAAGCACAAGCATTGGCTGTTGGTACACTATAGCTTTTTGACCAGCAATTTCAGGTCCTTTTTCAAGAGCATTATAAGAAAAGAAAGTATTCCTAATTATTATTGAGTATTGGGGTAGTAATGGGGATCAAGTTTGACTTTAATGGAAAAGTGTAGGTGATATTGATAGTCTGTTTGATACCAATATATTTTTATCATTTTAACTGAAATTCAGTGTTCTGGAAATGGTCACACCCTCCCCCAATTGTAATGCCCAGTACCAATAACCACAAACATCTACCAATATAGTACCATGCCACTGATAGACCCAATACTATATTCTTGGGCACAACACTTTACCACTCCTGAAGTTACATACACTTCACATTTTAGTTACAAGAGGCAAAAACCCAACTGGATGTCAACAACTGTTGGAATGCATGCGAGTGGAAACTAGATATTGATGGGCTGCCTTTGAATGTTAACCTCAATGAAATACCAACATTGGTTAATGAAATCACCAAGTACTTTGTGATCATCAGATGTAAATCCATGCTGGATCAATTTATCCAAGGCCTTTCATATTATGGGGTTTGAAAACATGTTTTATTTTTTTTAACTAGTTACTGCAGTACTTGTTAATCACCTAAGACTTCAAATACTTAATTCTAATTAGCCCAATAAATGAAGGCGAAAAGCATGCTTCTTATGTCAGCCACGAACAGTATGTAACAAGTTATGCTTCTCTATGTTAAATTAAAATGAGAACCTTTTCTTCCCAGGTATTAGATTTTGTCAGAAACCACAAAGGGATGGCTCATCATCTATTTTCTTGCATGAAACATGGCAATGTGAATGTTCAACAGGTGATCAAAACATTGAAACCAGCATTTTCACCCCAAGGAAACCAGCGACGAATTAAAGAAGAAATAGTGATGACAAAATTCATTGCCTTTTTAAAATCAATTGAAGGTCAATAAATTTGAATATTTACATGTATTGCCATTATTACTTGTATGTAAGAACAAATATATATCAGTGAAAATTATGTGAAATGTAATTGTACATTTTTGTCAATTTTAGATGGTACTTTGCAAGAGTGCTTAGAAGACAGTGATATAAAATTAACAGAACAAGAGAAAAGTTTCATTCCTCTGTTAACACCAGGTCACATGCTACTCTTTGTGACAGGGGCAGCCAACACACCATCTATTGGTTTTGATCCAAAACCAATGATAAGTTTTGTACATGATGAGGGAAAGACCATTCCAAGTGCACAAACATGCTCAAATGTACTATATTTATATGTGAATGGTAAAACAACTAATGGTAACTTATTTCACGACCTCCTTACAGCATTAATGAATGGAGGTATTTTCAGCAAATTGTAAAATTTATAGTAGAAAGAAAAGTTTATACCATGTTATAAGATTTTTTGAGTTTTTGCAGCGCAGCCATTGTAATTTTTAATTGCTTTCAATTCACACCACAAGGGCAAGTTCAAGCCAAGCCCTTATCACCCTTTGGTAGACTGTAGCCTTCAGCAATTTCACATAACCTGTGGTATAGATCCAAAGAGTGTCTCCAGCTTGTTGGCTTGTCCAAATGAAGTTGCTGGAAAATCTCATTAAAGTATTCCTGATAACAGTTCTCTTCATTATAATCATGACAATACTGAGACATATCAGTAAATTGTTCATCTGTAACAGGCTGTATGTAATTTCTACTAACTGAGCATTCAGGAAGAAAGTATAGCTCATCTGGTCTGCCCGAAATAGTATCAAATCTTGATTTGCGAATATAATGAGAATTCCAGTGCTGTTGTACAGAAGTTAGGTCTTCTTGTACAAGTTCATGAAAGCAATACCACAAGCATTCTTTCTGTAATTGATTGGATAAACTAAGATGACCAGCTTCAACAAGATCTTTGAAAAAATTTGTCCACCAATTTGAGCGGTTTTTACGTAAATACGACCACCAACATTCGATGCTTTGATTTGATGGTGATGTACCGTATCTGTGTGCTTTCATACCAGCATGCTCATCATCTCCATTGCTTCGAAAGTATGACTGCATAGCAGCCATAATACCATTTTCTGTGCCATTATCAGTTCTTAGTATAGTTGGACAACCCCCATATTCCTTAACAGCAGTTAGAAAGTGGTGTCCAATGATGGCTGGGTCATTGTTTGTTCTGCAAACCTTTAACCACAGTACTTTACGACTGTAACCATCTATGCATCCGTGCACAGGGAAACAGTATAGTTTCAATTTATCATATCCATCGGCATGCCATGAATGATTAGGACCTGGCGTTTGATAAATTCGAGGACGAAGGGTCTTAGATCTTTGTTCCGACACACCTTCAGGGTCGAGTTCCTTGAGAACTTTATGAACAACTTCTCTTGGAACCTGGATACCTTCCATTTTTAATGTGTGCCAAACAGCACGGTACCCACCAGAACAACCAGGACCGTTGAGTTCTTGCTGAATACGACGGCGAACTTGATCTATATCGTATTCAATGTTTCTCCTTTTCAGATCAAGGTCACGAAGTTTTGTGTTCAATGTTCTTAAAGACATTCTAATGCCATGATATTTCGATAAAAACAGTAGGATTTTCTCATAGTTATATCCCTGCTTGAAATAGCGTTTTATAAGCTCCTCACATGTGGAAATTTCAGTTGGAATTTGGTCCATTCTTCTAGAATAATACAGAAATATTTGGTTATTGTTTGTGTTTACGCGCCAATTGGCGAGTACCACATTGGACAAACAGTGAACCAGTAGAACTTTGTTACATGTTACCTCTTAGATATACAGGTATAACATGGGAAATATGTCAATATCCCAGATGATCCCTAAAAGTCCCCGATGCAACATTTTGTTTTGTACTGAGAGCAATCTTTGTCGCGTATCGAGTTTTGTATTCACGTTTCGTACAAAATTTTGCAATGTGTTTCGAGATATTTTGTTGTGTATTTCTCAAATTTGTCGCGCACTGAAACTTCTCTACGTGAACTTTTATTTTGATTTGTGTACTGAACATTTTGTTTTGAATTGTGACTTTGGTTTGTGTATTGCACATAGGGGCCACCGTACTATCCTGCGCCAAAACCGCATTAAAACGGCATATGGAGAACAAAAAACACAAGGACTTGTGTAAAATTAAAGAGCAAGTAAACGCACCAATAACCTCTACTGTGTTTGAAACACGTCCAAATCCAGCAAGGATCGAGATCAAAATTTGTTCATTCATAACCGAAAAAAATCTTCCAATCAGCATTGTGGAAGATCTTGTACCCCTGCTACGAAACCTTTTCCCTTCTGATCTAGCTCTTCGTGAAGTTAAGCTGGGGAAACAAAAGGCCACCAATATAATTCGGCAAGTACTTCATGCCATTAAAGATTGTGTTTTTAAGCCTAAAAACAACAAATTCTCATTGATTATCGACGAAACCACGGATAAATCAACAACGTCTCAACTCGCCATACTTGCGGTCTATTTTAATGAAGAAACATTTAAACTTGAAATCATTCTAATCGATCTTATTCCACTCTCAGATGGAACTGCAGACACCATCTACAAGGCATTACTGGACAGCTTAAAAGAAAGAGGCATTCCTACGAAGAACGTTGTTGGCTTCTGTTCAGATACGTGCAATGTCATGTTTGGCGCCAATCATTCAGTTTCCCAGATGCTAATAAAAGATCATCCATGGATAATTCCAATCAAATGCAGCAGTCATTTGATTCATCTGGGCAGTTCCCATGCATCAAAAGTTTTTCCTAAAAACGTTGAAGACCTTTGCAGGAACATATTTTCACATTTCAGCATGTCAAGTAAAAGAAGTGAAGTATTTAAAGAGTTCCAACAGTTTCTTGATTTAGACGAGCTGAAAATTTTGCGCCCAGGTAATGTTGCAGTAAAAGTTTCAAATAATGAATAAACATTACAAAATTCAATTCAGTTTAAAATAAAGGATTAAACTAGCTTCAATTTTCACTTTTGTTTGTTAAACTCTAGGTTATACACGATGGTTATCCATGAAAGCTTGTGTAAAAAGAATCCTCGAGCAGTATGATGCCTTAAAGCTCTACTTTACAACTGTTGCATTTGAAGATCCCACAAATACTCATGATGCAATTCTGGCAAGTCTGAACAACAAGTTCTATCAAGTCTATCTGGAATTTATGGACTTTAATTTTGGTAAAATTCTGAAATTACAAATGAAATAATTTTGTAAATTTTGCTATTTTGTCATTATCATAATGCAATGCAAGTGGTTTTTTGAGTTTGTTTATTGAAATCATGAAATGCTCAGTTGTTCTATTTAGGCAGATTTGATCTATTTAGGCAGATTTTATGGGCGGCCGTTACCACCAAAAATACTATAGTTGTAAAATGAAGCAGCAAAAAGTGAAATATATCAACAACAATGCAACTGGCTTAACCAAACGTTCGATTGCTCGATCTTGGTGGTTAAAATCGCACAGCAAAAGTGTTAATAGCACAGCTTCATTTTAAACAGATCAAGTAAAGCAGAAAAATAGAACAACTAAAAACGTGAAATCGCTTGGTCCAAAATAGCTTGTAGTTCAAAATAGCTTATTTAAAAATAGCTTAATGTGAAATAACCTAATGCGAAATAGCTTTACGTGAAATAGCCTAATTTGAAACAGCCTAATGTGAAATTGCCAAATTTCAAACAGCCTAATGTGAAATAGCCTGTTGTGAAATAGGCTAACGTGAAATAGCCTAACTTGAAATAGCCTAATTTGAAACAGCCTAATGTGAAACAGCGTTATGTGAAACAGCATAATGTGAAATAGCGTAATGTGAAATAGCCTGTTGTGAAATAGGCTAATTTGAAACAGCCTAATGTGAAACAGCGTAATGTGAAATAGCCTGTTGTGAAATAGGCTAACGTGAAATAGCCTAACTTGAAATAGCACGTTCAACGCGCTGAACTGGAGTTTGTACAACACCAAGTATTCAACTATGAGGCGCCCGCAAACTTTGCACATGGTTTTTTCTTCCTTTCAAGAAGACAAGAAGATATCATCTCTAATCGGTATGTATTTTTGTTTAATTGTTTCTTTTTCTTGTATTGCATTAGTTCCCTACAAACGACTTTTCAATTATCTATGCTCGTTGTTGATTCGATGAGATAGCTAGTATCTTAAACGCATTATACGCGCATTATATGCAAATGAAGCTCAAGGAATTTCTGCTTGATTAACATTCAATCTAGGTCGCCAGTTCCTACACTTGGTCGTTATTAATGTAATAACCCAAAACTTACTCATTTACTTTGATGTACACCATACCAGGGTTAGGAGCTTAGAGCCTTGGAATTGGGCTGCTTGATTTTCCATGTTGGCTTTTCTTGTTCAGGTGTGAAGGGTGATCATGACTGAGGCATTTGTGAGGTTGTTAATTGACAGTCTTGGAGAAATTTCAGCTATGCTTACAAGTAATTATGAAGAAAATTGTGAAATTTGTTTGAGACGTTTGGAAGTACTTGCTGAACAAGCAATGACAACCGATGGCATAAGCATAGACATTGTTGATCTTATTAACCAAGCAAAAAATTTGGTAAAGAAAGATGTGACAATAAGCCAGGATTATTTTTCATATGAAGCACCCCAACAAGTAAATGGCAGGCGAGGAAGGCCACGGTTTTGTATCTCAGAGGAGCAGTTGGAATTTTTTCAAGGTTAGAATAGGCCTAAATTCTAACTTCCTATAATAAAATATCTTACTGGCTATCTATCTACCTATCTATGCATCTAATTAGTCAAATTCAACCATACAAATTTTATGCATGCACCAATTTTGAAAACTTGAGTTACACAAATAGTATACTTTAATATATGTATGTATATATGTATATATGTATATATGTATGTATATATTTTCAAAAAAAATCAGGTAACTCTGGTTTTGAAAAGCTGTGCTTTATGTCCTTCTGTTACACTCAGCAAATGGGTTTACCCAAGGTGATATGGCGCAAATGCTTGGTGTTAGCTTACGGACGATTGAAAACAGATTTTCAGAATACAACATGACCAACAGAGATCGTTACAGTGCTATAGATGATGAATTCCTGGATGCCTATGTGGAGCGTGCGGTTGCACTATTTCCAAGATCAGGTACCATTAGGCAATATTATGTACAGTAACACATGAATTGATCATGCGAAATATCCTTATATTGTAGTGTGGACTAGTGTAATTTTTTAAAAAAATATTCTCAGGTACGAAAACTATTGAAGGAGAGCTAATATCTCAGGGGATTCGAGTTCAGAGACGAAGGCTCCATGACTCGCTAAAACGTGTTGATCCTGTTGGGAGAAGACTCCGTTCACTTAATGCCATACGAAGACGTGTGTATAATGTCCATTCACCACTTGCACTTTGGCACATGGACAGGAACCATAAACTTATAAGGTTTGTTAGGTCGTATCTCTTAAGAGAATAGTTTCTGTAAAACTTCGTTCAAT